GATTTTTACGCTAATATCGTCTGTACAGTATGTAAATTAGGTACCATAAGTCTAATACAGCACTGTAATTTTATACATTTCTTGTGAAAGAAACATTTCTTATTCAATGGCCATAAAAATTATTTATATTAATGATGTCTCCAAAGTTCAACGAAGTTTTCGCAGAAAAATAACTTATAAGAAATCAGCCGCGGTTTGCTGCGCTGCTCCGCGACAAAAACAAGCTTGAGCAATGGCGATGTCAAATGGTGCACACTCGGTAAGTAATCCTACAATTTTTTGTTTATAGCATAGTTGATACAGATTATTCCCCAAAAAAAAAATATACATATTTTGGAAATGTTGAGTCGAATTAGTCTAGAATCGATTAATTTTATGGAATAAAACCTTTCAAACAGCCATAGTCCGTAAACTTCACACGTGTCGGGCTGTGATTGGCAAGGACTCGTAAGAAATCAATTCATAAAGAACGGAACGTACAGTCGACCCCGCTATAATTATGGTCCCAATAATTACGATTCCTATAAAACTGCAAAAAAATTGTGACAGTATCCATAAAAAACCCCCTATAATTACGTTAAACGTCATCGGGCAGCCAAACTACTTTCCGCCGTCCATAGCGCCACGCTACGGAGAGATTTCTATCGTCTGGACGGTATTATATAAATTATATATAAATTAGGTACTGTACATATAATTATATATTAATTATATATAAATTAGGTACTGTATATATAATTATATATTAACTTATTGTAACTTTGTTATAATTAAATATATAATTTCCGCCGTCTAGCGTGGCGCCACGCTACGGAGATTTTTACGCTAACTATCGTCTGTCAGTATGTAAATTAGGTACCGTAAGTCTAATACAGTACTGTAATTTTATACATTTCTTGTGAAAGAAACATTTCTTATTCAACGGCGATTAAAATTATTTATATTAATGATGTCTCCGAAGTTCAACGAAGTTTTCGCAGAAAAATAAGTTATCAGAAATCGGCCGTGGTTTGGTGTGCTGCTTCGCGACGAAAACAAGCTTTAGCAATGGGGTTGTCGAATGGTGCATACTCGGTAAGTAATCCTACAATTTTTTGTTTATAGCGTAGTTTATACGGATTATTTCCAAAAAATATATACGTATTTTGGAAATGTTGAGCCGGATTAGTCTAGAATCGATTAATTTTATGAAAGAAAACCTTTCAATCAGCCGTAGTCCGTAAACTTCACACGTGTCGGGCTGTGATTGCAACGACTCGTAAGAAATCGAATTCCTAAAAAATGGAACGTATCTATGATCTTATAGGGGGGTTTACTGTACATACATATATATATATATATGTTATATTATATATAAAATTAAAAACAAGCAGAATTTTTTTGTAATTCTACTTGATTTTAAATAATACTCTATTTTTGCTTATTTTTTAGTTTTGAAATGAGTGGAAAAATGAGAATTAGTTCAATAAAAATTCTTATTAGCCCAATAAAAGAATCTAAATGTTCATTTAATATTCAATTAAAATTTATTTTCAAATGAAAAATTTTAATAAAATATTTTAAAAATTTTTACAGTTCAATTATATTTGAATTAGATCTTCAAATGATATTTTTATTCAACATTTGTATACTTTCGTTTAATTATGAATTATGGAGTAACACACACACACACACACACACACACACACAAATAAAAAATATATGAGTATTATATATGAGTACAAAAAATTAATAAACTTTTTTATAATTCTGAAATCAAGCTAATTATTTACAACATTAACATTTTCACTGTTGATTGATGTGATTTTGCATCATGTTACATACCAAATAAGCTGATGATGCAATTTCACATCATTCAGACCCTAGAAGTTTTTGACAAAATTGCACAGACATTATTTTTCAATGTCATTTATTTCTACTTGGAAGTGTAAGAAACATTGTAGAGATTATATTTTATTGCTTGGTTTTATACTTTCCCAGGACAAGAATTGTAATGGTTTTTTATCATTTTGTCATATAGTAGGTGCAAGTGCCGTGGCGTAGTGTAGTGGGGGCGGCCCGTCCCGGGTGGCACATTTTAGGGGGCGGCAAAATTTCACAATAAATAATAATAATATCTTGTAAAAATTTGAACCATTTTACTTGATACTTTCCTCGCACCTACGATTTGGACCGATTAAAATAAGCACGGAATAGTGTTACCATGTGGATAGTCCGGGAACCGACTCACTGTTCGGGTGAACTGTTAAATTTTTCCGGCAATATCATGCACAACCTGTCAACCTTTTTGTGTTTTTTTTTTATTTGCTTGTACGATTTGTATTCATACACATCTCCAATATCCAATAGAGCTATGTCATCTAGGATACTTACGTTACTCCTACCCAAGTCTCCCTAGTCCCTAAGTGTAAATAATTTAGAACCGGCATGCAGTGCACATTATTCTTTGCATTGCAAAATGACCTGCGTCAGGAACTTCTGTTCGAACAAACCTCACCTGCCCTCTGGGTCAGTGATTTTAAAAAGGTGGCAACACTAGCATGGAATTTTTCATTACTTATTCTGTGACAAAACAGAATTTTAGTCTTTTAAATTGAGATACCTAAATAAAGGGACAGCGAAATTTTCCTTGCCCTGGGCGGCTGACACCCATGCTACGCCACTGTGCAAGTGATTCATTTTTGCATCATCACATATATTCCATAAATATTGCTCAAAATAAAAAAATTTTTTATTCGTAATCTGTGTATAAAAGTAACATACTTTATAAAAAAAAATAATAATAAATCAGCATATTTGGTGTAAATTTTTGTTTCAATCCCAGCAACAAAAGTGTGAGGATCCAAATCCAGACTTTCAGTATGTTTATATCATTATCTCATAACATCACATCGTAACTATAATCTCGTCAAATAACTGTCAACTTTCGCGCCTGGGAGCAAAACCTCTGTTAAGTTCTCAGGCCTGACAATGATGCTTTCTCATCACCTCTCTACCTAATATCTCAATTTCAACAGTTCAAAATATAGAACAAGACAACACAGTGGTGGAGTCATCACCAGTTCCTCGATCGAACCAATCAATCATAACCAATGTATTTAAATCTAGGATATTTAAACTTGATATATTGTATGTTCTGTATGGCCTATCGTTACCAATTAAATGATTGTTACGTTAACCCGTCTCTGCGTAAGTCACTTCTGGTGCGCTGTCTCTCCCTCCATCCCGAATCTGATTGCTCTGTTACACGACTGCTTGTGTGAGTCAGTTAGCATGGCTTCCGTGCCAACCGAGACGTGGTGGTGTCATCCTGACGACGCATCAAAGAGATACCAACCCTTTGGTCACAAAAGTGTTAAATTGTAGATAGTTGTATCTAACTTAATAAATCTTTACAATCAATTTTCTGGAACTAAAGTTATTTGTTAAATAAGGTTTGCCTGTATAATACTAATAATGAAATAATAATAATCAATAATTATTATATTTCTTTCTACTTTGAAAAACCACCAATATTTATATGTATACATAATGTGCACCAACATCCATATATAATGTACTGTACCTGTATAGTGTTTAAAACAGTGGGTGATACAGCCTTGGCTACCTATGCATCAGATGCAAATGCAGAGGTTTACTTCGATAAAGCTCACCTTCTTCATCAAACTGCATCTGAAATTATCCGTCTGAACCATCATTACCATCGCATCTGAAATACCTGGAGATTCTTGAGATATACAGGGTTATTTCTAGAGAAACAGATAGAGAAACTCTTCCAATCTCAGCACTAGGGTAAAATCTACACTACACTATCCGGAACCTGTA